AAAAGATTATAGACTGTTATGACAGAATGTCTAGTGGCTTTTGATACTGGCAATAAAATACGAAATCCTTAAATATAGTATCAGTAGCCAGAACATAAAAATCTATGAGACTGGACCATACTTATCTTGTTCATCACTTTAACCTCCCATTCTAGGATAGTAGTGACTGACACATAGTTGCTGAATAAATATTTGTTGAGTAAATGAATTAATGACTGAACTAACATTATATGGTTATATACGTTATATATAGTTATAGTTACTCAACAGATTTACAGAGATTACCTAATCATGGGATGAGTTCATAGTCCCAAAACCATCACTGCCTGTCACTCCGACTTTCCCAGGGTTTAAGACCTGTTTTGAAAGAAATGATCTAGGTGTTGAATAAGACATTGAGAAAGTTCAGATGTTACTGAACTAAGGTAAAATCTAGTACCTAAACACAGGCTATTTTTCTTCCTAAAGGCTTATCCAGTAATTATTTCTTTACTGGAACATTCAGGTGTTTATTAGTTTTTTATTGTGAGTTTACGATACGCCAGGTTTTATTCAAACAGTCTACTTTTTTTTCTCCCAAACATGTTGCCTACAATTGTAATAAGAATTGTGTTTCTGAGATGATAAGCTTGACAGTCTTGAAAGAAGTAAGAATTCAAAGTCTTTTTTTAAAAAAAACATTATTTGCATTTTTCTAAATGAATAGAAGTTTATCTGGTTTTCTAAGAACGCATTTCTGATAACCTATACCAAAATTGTGCATGTATTATATAAAATTTACATATTTTGTAAAATCTTATGTACTCTAAAATTTATTGACAGGAAATTCTAGAAATTGGCATGTCTGATAAATAATTCATAGTTTCAGTTTAGCATTTAATGAGCTAGGCACTGTGGGGCTGTCACTATCTAAGACTAGAAGGACTTTATTTACTATTCTTGTAGATTTATTTAAAAAATTGAGAGTGTAGTCACATCTCTGCTTTTTGAAGTTGAAGTTTTAAGTTTCTTTCTAAATGGACTAAAATGGAAGCTCCTAATTTCTTTCCCACTTCCTCCCTCCCTATTAAAAGAATCAAAATCTCTGTGCTGTATCTAATTAGTAGAGATAAGAGAGTTTGTGCTTGACACTCAGCTATACCATCTACTAACTCTGTGCTCTTGAGCACTTTTATTAACCACTCTAATGAGTTTTCTTGCTATGTGTTAAGAGTGATCACAATAACTGGTAGGATTGCTATAGGGATTAAATGAGATGGATTTAAAGCACTTAACATACTTCCTGATACATAGTAGATGTTCAATAAATGTCAACTACTATTATTGCCTAGGACCAACCAACTAGGGTGGTAGTAGACACATAATAAATGTGTAATTACATCACCCCTAAACCTGAAAAAAATAATGCATTTATGTTCATTGAAATAATACTTGGAAGAATATTGCACAATGATCAAATATCATGTAGAGACTGTATTCTATAATGTTTCATAGGACATACTCTGAAGCCAGGATCTCTGGGTTAAAAAAAATAATCTTGGGTAATAAAGGAAAACTTTCTCACAAATCACTTTTGTTCATCTATAAAGTGGAGATACAGTTGTGACTATTAAATGAATTGATACATACAAAATACTTAGGCCAGTGCCTGACATATGGTATGCATTAGGTAAATGTTATCTGTTAATATTATCCTACCCTGGTATATGACTTAATTGTGATTCTGAAATTAATTAAATGTAGGTTGAATTTTAACTCTACAATATATTAGCTATAAGACAATTTAGAGTTTATTCATGAAATTGTTAGTGTCCAATTTCTTATCTGAACATGTGGAAAATAATCTCTAAGAGAAGAGACTTTTGTAAGTATCAATGGAGAATATGACATAAAGTGTAGAAATCTTGACGTTGTACTATTTATCTATTGCTAATTATTATTTTCCTAAACCCACCAAACTGTCTTTAAAATCACTCACAATTATTTAAAATTATACGACAATTTTTAGGGTCTCAAGTTATTTTAAAATTCAACCCCCTCCCATTGCCTCCAAAAAGTTGAACTTCCCTGCAAAATTAAGCCAAGAAGAGATAAAGCCCTCAAATTCTTTTTAACATCAGAGAAGTCACCATCTGACATGCTGATTCCATGAATTTCTCCAAATGCTCAGTCTCATATCCAATAAATCCATTCATAAATGGCATTAATCTATAGAAATACTAACTCAAGTACAACTTTTCAAAATTTCTGCAGTAATTTATAGTTATATAAACATTACTCTGAAACATTCATTTTTTGATATGATGGGTTTAGGATACTAGAATTCCAGAATTATCAATCATTTTTTTCTGAGGTTTGCTTACTGGGCTTAGCATAAGTTCTTTGTGAATGGTTATTCCTCCAAAGATAACTAGGAGAAATGAAAGAACTATATCTGATCAAATTCATTTAGCTGGCATCTTATCGTGTGAAATAAAATTTCCTGAAATGCATCACAGATAAAACTAATCCAGTGCCAATGTCATTGACAGTTTAATAACTGATCCTTCACCACAGATCTCTCCCCTAAAAATAGTTATCCATAGCATGTTAAAATTGACTCTTTCTTCTTTAAATAGATCCCAGTACTCAGTATCTTGGCCTGAGTCAGGCCATGTAAATCATAGAAAAAGGTGGATTAAAGTTGGGATGAGCTGTCCTTCCGCTTTGGCCTTCTTACGTGCCTAAAATCACCTCTCTGGCTCGGCTTTGGTTTTGAAGACCAACTAGCCATATGCATTTCTGGACTCCCTGAATTTAAACATGAGCCGTGACTTACAGTCTGTGTGCCCACCATATCTAATCAGTATAACAACGTCAGTAATACATACAAGGGAGTTCTTTGGATTTACTAAGCATCCTAGATGTAACTGGAGGACATAAATCTCCTGATGTGCTTTTTATGATGCAAATTCTATTATTTAGCTAAAAGTGTCAATTTAATATTGCAAATAAGCAACACAGTGCTTGGAGGAGTAATCCAGCATCTGATGGTGCTAAAAGAAGTTACCATTCTTGCATTATAATCTCAAACCTTAAAGCTTGACTTTACATCTTTAATAATAAAATGTTAATACCAATTATGCTTTTAAATTTGTGTATCCAAAGAGTTCATTCCACAGTGGCAATACTTATTTTCAGCTGAATGTTGATTCTAACACTCAACCTTTTAACATTTGTCCCAAATTTAACTTGATACACCTCTTGATAAAAAAGGAGAGCAGAGGGGCAGGTCATTATAATTCCTTGGTTTACTTTTTGAAGTCTAAGCATTCAAACCACACTAGATTCTTGGGAAATTCTTCTTCTTTAACAAAACAAATAGGAAGTAGATCTTTGAAGTCATCTTCTCATTCCTTCCTCGTGCAGGGAAAATGGAAGCGGAAAGTAATTGAATAATGAGCCTGCGGGGTCCACAGCTTAATCCATGTCCACTGGGGTTTATAAAAGGAATGGGGAGTAGAGACACTTACAGAAGGCATGTAAACAATGTCTATCAATTTGGGAACAAGGAGACATGGAGCAATGGCCAATAACTGGAGTGAAATGCAGTGGATGGAGAATCAGAGGCTCAGAGCAGTCAAGTCTCTATCACCAAAGAGCTCAGCAACTTTGACCAAGAAAGTCTGAGCATTCATTACTGAAGATTTCACTTCACACATGCATTTCAATTTGCAGAATAAGAACAATAAATTTGAATGTGAACGCTTACACCTCAGTGATGGTGGTATTTTGTTTTCCACTAACATTTCATCACAAGAATATTGGAAACATTTCATTTCACTTCTCAAGTGGTTCTTTTTAGCGTAAGAATCGTTTTCACATATAATAATCCCTCCTAAGAGTTAAATCGCGTTCCTCTGTCAGATAAACTGTTACATAATCTTTCCCTCAATTACAGTAGAAAACAGTTGCAACAGTTTAATGCATAGACATCTGAGAAAAACATATCCCCTAAAACAACACCACTCATTAAGACACTGATATAAAAGATTCAGTCTATTACAGTTTGTCTCTTCTATTAACTTGTATTGCAATACATCACAGTAAAGCACCTGCCTATGTATCAGTGAGTGTTGAGTTTTCTAAAGGGTTTATGAATACTACTAATTTCTTCATTGAGGGTAGAGACTAAATTTTCTATTTTCTTCTTGTGTTCATATAGAACAATATCTACCCAGAAATAAGCAAATTTAAGGGCTTCATAAATGTGTTTTGATTAGTAAGTTACCACTGCATCAAAAAGAGAAAATTCTTTCAGAGTGCATTAGCTACTAAATATGATCACACATGATGGTAACCAAATGGCTTGATTTAAACACAATAATATTGACCAGTGTCGTGTAGTGTTACTGTTAAATTAACTATCTTAAACAATGTAAGAGTATAGTGAACTAGGGAGTATAATGCAGCCTTTAAAATTATGATAGAGGAATATTGATATTCATGAAGAGCTATGTATCACTTAATGATTAAAACAGAATAAAAAAGATAAAAATAGAATCATAATACGATAAGCACTTTGGTGTGTGTGTGTTCTTGCAGTTACAAGTATATATGGGTATGGCTATGTATATATTTGACACTGTTAAATTAATGTAAACTGAGAAGTTTATTTAAAATAACATATACAATTACATTTTGCTGGCAAATATGTCGCTCACCCAAAATCCCACAAGAAGCAAAAGAGACAATAAAAATTCTCTCCTTCTTGTCATCCCTGCGTCAAAGAGCCCAAATTTGAGTAATTGATCTTAAATCACAATCGTTTGATGTGAGCTGAGTAACTGTAATGCTACTTCAGTCAAATATCGTAGTCAAAAGTTTTTTGTTAAATGATGTGTACACTAATTACTTATACAATAAAATTTCTTCTGATATTAAATTTAACATTTATGGTGCTTGAATTGAAATGCAACACTAGTCCTAATAGAGAATGTTTTTGGTTGTGCTTTTCTAGGTCTCAGGGTGGCGAACTTTTCCTCTGAATTCCTAACCTGTGAGCTTATGGTAAGATTATAATGAATATACTAAATTTTAGAGAGTTTTTCTTTATTACTCTTGCTTAATAGTGTCCAGTGAATATAACAGTAATGAATTTGCATAACTCACCTGATAGTTTACCATTCTTTTCCATAAATGTTGAAGACTATGTGATATTTTCCCTCGAAATGTTTATGTTCTTGGGTAGGTAATAGAAACCTAGTCATTTGATGAAGTCTTTGATAGGTTTCTAGGTGAATTTGAAGGCATCGTTGAAAAGGTAAGGATTTATACCACTGGAAAATAGTTCTTTGGACATGAATGACAATTTTATATATTAAAATTTTTAGAGTGAAGTCTATTTGATGCCAATGAATAGAGGCAATGACTTATTGAAAGTAAAACTTATTTTATCACCTGTCAAGATTTATCAAAATTGGGTTCTTCTATAAAAGCTTGATGTTAGAGCTTCAGAAAATTGAAAGTAAAATATGTAACTGTTGAAATAGAAATGTTAAGAAATAGCCAGTCACTTCTAAGGTGATTTTTTTGAGTGTTATTATTTGTTAATTTCTATGAATCCAATGTGAATCTGGTTTACCCTTATAATTGATTAATTCACATTGTGAGTAAACATAAGTTTGTGTTGTGAAATTAATGCAGTTATTTTTTAGTAGGACAATTTTGAAAGTTTATCTGCTCCTTAGTATATATAATATGGGCATTTATATCATACATTTTATACTTGGGGGGAAATGATCTACTTGGAAACACAAAGGCAATTGACTAAAACTGTTGATTTGGTTATATAGCATTATTGAAATGTATCTTGAAGAAATTGTTTTAAGTGAATGTAGGCAACAAATGCTTCTGGGATCTCTAAGGTATACTTTTTAGTTACACTTTTTTAGAAACCCTCAACAAATTATTATCACAAACAAGTGTCATATAGAAGCAATGGGAAATTCCTCTGCCCTACCAAGAGGACTCTGCTGACAATGGAAGAAATTATTATGAAATATGCTATTTGGATATGCATTCAACAATAACTTTATTTGCAAGAAGTGTTTTTTAAAGTTGTGACTTACATTTCACAAGTATACCTACCTTTTCTCAGAAATTATTTCAACCTATAAACTGTTAAAAAATACTTTAAAAACTTACTATCATCTCTGGTCCTTTAAATCCTCTTATACAAACAAAATACATAGGAAAAATTGCTCATATCTTAACTGCACAATCTCAGTGAATTGTTACAAAATGAACACACCCATAAAAACAGCACTCACATAAATTCAAAAACAAAAAGATAGAACATGAGAGTACCTTGAAGCAGCCCCTCCTTTCTGCTCTTCTCTAGTAACTGTTCCCACAGAGCATAAGCACTATGTTGGCTTCTAGAAGGATAGATTATTTTGCCTCCTTTTTTGCATTCTATAAGTGATATTCTAAGTAGGTACTACTTTGCCTCTTTTTCTCAATATTACGTTTGTAAGATTGTGTGCAGTGGTAAATCACTCTTTCTCATTGCTGTGTAGTACTCAGCTGTGTGAATAGACCAAATTACAATCCTTTCTCCCATTTGTAAGCATTTGGGTAGCTTCCAAACTTTAGCTCTTTGAATAGTGGTCATATGGACATCTGGAACATGTCTTTTAGGAAACATGTATGTATTTTGTTGGGTATGTAGAATATGCATATGTTCTGCTTTAGTAGATACTCATAGTTTACCAAAGTGGTTATATCAGTTTTTGACACAGGATGTGAGAGTTCTGTTGCTCCTTATACTAACACTGGGAATTTTTCATCTTCCTATATCAGCCATTCTGGTGTGTATGTCAGGATATTTTAATTTGAATATCTTGAAGACCAGTCGTATTAAACACCTGTTTTTATGATTGTCACATTTGAGATGATTATCTGTCATGTGGATATTCTCTTTTTAGAACTGAGTCTTCTGCCCTTTTTCTATATTATCTATTTATTTTTATTATATTATCTATCCTTGTTTACTATGTATACATAATGGGTGTAGGAATCCTTTGTTGGATATCTATGGTCCTGGTTCACAAGATTAAACCATTAAAGTGTCAAGAATTTTGAGACCTGCTTGGTAGTTTGAAAATCTGCCATGATAGAAATATTTCCACCACATACATTGACAAACACTAAAAATCAGAGCTTTATTTTTCCTTCTGGAGAACTAGTTGTTAAACATTTATCAGCACACCACTGGATATTTATTTTGTGTATTAAATCATTTGGTGGATGTTTTCCTTACTCTCCTAATGGTGTCTTTTGCTGAACAGAGTTCTTAATTTTAATTTATTCTAGTGTATTAGGTTTGTTTCTTGTATGATTAGGGCTTTTTGAGTCCTATTTAAGACATATTTACCTTTGCCATGGTTGCTAAGATATTTCCTTATGGTTTCTCTAAAAGCTTTATTGTTTAGACTTTCACATGAAATTATCTCCAGGTTGTAAAGATATTGTTCTATGTTATTACCTTATGCATTTACGATAGTTAGCTGGATAGCTTTTCATTAGAATAGTAGTTGCCCTGTATATATTTTACTTTTTATTTTAAAATTAATACATAAATATACAGACATTTATATGTATGTTTATTTAATAAGTTAATGTAGTTATTTATGAGCAAATTGTAGTATTTCATAAAGATAATATATGTATTTATGCATTGCCTACTATAAGTTTCACGCACCACAATCAGTTATGTGGCCATAATTTTGAAATAGATATTCATCACCATAGTAAATTAATATTTGACTTTAACCCTAAATGTATTATGATAATTTATTTCCATCATATATTGTTAAAGGAACCAAAAGTCTGCAAAATAAATATTCTACAGAATCATTTTAAAAACTCAGAATATTATGCTAACTTTTAGGCATTCAGATAAAAATATTATTAAAATGTATTTAGTTGCTTCAAAATATTATGTTTAAAAAGTTACATAAACACGTAACAGCCATGATAAATACATTCTAAAGGATCAATTATAGAATACTATTTTGTGTACTTTATTAAGATGTTTTTGTCTTGTGATTTATATACATGGATATATTTATATAAAATTTTCCATGAAAAACATGGTAATAGATCACATACCTGTTTTGTGCATGCTAGGAATGATACTATAAAAGCCAGTATTATTTCTTCCTTAAAATTCTGAGTCAATTATGTAAATGTGTATATGTTTGCCACAGATTGTATTGTCCTATTATGCATGCTTTTTGAATTGCGTATGTTTTCCTCTTGAACTAATCATCCTGATGTAAACATATTCAGTTTTCCCTGTAACAATTGAAATATTTGAAAGATGTGACACATAATGGAATTAAATAATTATTTTCAAATGAAAAGTTTAATAGTTTCAATACGCACATATCAAACTGAGTGTTTTTTGCATCTCTGGGTCCTTAATCCAAGCCATTTCATTGACTTCAGAGTAACTCATAACTCAAGCTACAGAAATGCAAAAACAAACTAATATGTTGTTTTTAGTAAAGAGTTATTCTTTTTTAAGTCCTTATAAGAGTAAAAAAATCTGATGAGAAAAATTGGGGGATTATAGATTAAAATCTTTGAAACTAAAGACAGATGGTATTTCATTTATTTTCATATATTTGGAGAGCATAGGGTTTGTATCAGAGCTGTTTTTTTCTTTTAGACTTTCTTGCCTGTTTTAGGTAGCCAACAGTGAAGAAATATATAGAGTGTGTACTAATTTTAAAAAGCTAATTAGATGATTTACACTTTTACTAAATTACTTATTTCTGTGGCATAATTAAAGCAGGAAGAACAAAGGTGAGACAGGAAAAGGTGTCTTGAAGATTGGTCCAAAACTTTACAGGACATTAATAGCTAACTCTGATCCTGCACTAGCGTTTTCAAGTAGCTAAATAATGAGTTTATCTGTGAAACACAGCGTGGGTTACAGAAGGAAATATTTCAGGATTCACTACATGAAGGCGTCCCTGAAGGTAAATGATAGTTAAAAGGAAAAAAATAAAGAGACACAGACCATAGATATACGTAATTGATACCAATATACTTCATTTTCAGAGATGACAGCTTGGGGACAAATCAAGTCCAAAGACATGTTATTGACATAATGCATGAAGGATAATGGAAGACACTAAAGAGTTATAAACTTGTAGAGTATTTTACTAGGCATGAGTTTAACCCAAAATTAAAAGATTGAATTATGCAGTAAAATTCTAATCTGAGAGCGTGAACACCCTTTAAAAAGGCCAAAAAAAAAAAGGTAAAATACAGTCAGAAAAAAAAATAACTAAAATGTAGTGTTAATATAAATGAAGATTGAATTTGAGAATAAACTTATTGGAATCACAAAATACTCTGTATTTATTTTAGTTTCTATTCAATGATATATTTATCTCATTGAACTGTTAAAGTACAGTGTTAACGGTTTTTTCCCCCCTAAAAAATAGAAATATTTGCTAGTTCCAGGCACAATATCTTATAGTAGCAGATGCTCTCTAAATTTTTGCTGTCTAGAAAACCAATTGTATATGAACGAGACAGATGTTAGACAGGTTTCTTTTGCAGTATCAAACACTTGTTTTCTCAAACATATCCCCTTTCCATCCTTTCTCCTCTCTTCCCTCCTTCCTTCTTTTCCTTCTTTCTTTCCTTCCTCTTTCCCTGCCTCCCTCTTTCTCTCCCCCTTTCTTTCTTTCTATTAACAAACATTTATGTCAAACTTACCAAGTGGTAGGCTCATATCTTTATTGATTTCCCAGTCTGATGAGGAAAAAAAAGGATTAAATAAACTTGTAAAATAAACCTCAATTTTGATAAATGTTATGAAGGAAAACATCCTCAAATGTAGAATAATTGGGACAGGAGTTGATACTTAAGTTAATACTTTAAAGGAAAGATGGAGTTTAACACATGAGGAAATGGAGAGGGGAAGGAGAGTATAAAGAGATTTATAGGATCTGAGGAAAAGGAGAGCTTAGAATGTTCAAGAAACTAAA